TCATCATGGGGCTTTTTTTATTATTTTTTTTTTTTTTTACATTTACTTGTTGTGATTTTCAAGCTGCTGGATTCAGGACTTGAACCACAGTCACCCATGTGGAGCTCCAGGGCCTTGACCACCACGCTACCTTTTTTTTAAGAGGTTTTTGCTATCGGGCGCGTGCGCTCACCAGACAGACAGAGAGACAGAAAGCGAGCAATCACCCCCCGGGGGGATGGCCACACCGCAATCCCTTCTCCATTCTCCTCTCGGGATCTTGGGCACGCACGCACACGTGTCCGGCATGAGTTTTAAGCCACTGGGACCGGGGCGTGAACCACGATCGACTACATGGGAGTCCGGCGATGTAGTCATTACGCTAACTGCTGGTCGCCACCATGCTACCTTCTGAATCCTCATCATGTTTTGCTTTTTTCCTTTTTTTTTTTTTCTTCTTAAGAGAGACTTTTGCTATAGTGCACATGAACTCACTGGAGAGACAGACAAAAAGAGAGAAATCAACCCCCAAAGCGGACGCCATACTGCAATCCCTTCTCCTCCATTCTCGGGAGTTGGGGCGCACGCACACACACCCACATGAGTTTCAAACTGTGATTGGCCATGTGGGTGTCCAATGATGTAACCATTAGACCATCTACTGGTCCCATAATCATGCTTTTCTAATGGGCTACACTTTATTTACTCTCTTCCTTGGAGAAGACCACGGGGAAGGCCACAGTGTCTCCAAGCAGACACTGTACTTACAGAAACACTGCACTTGCTAATGAACACTCATAAGGAAGACAAGTTATAGCACACAAGGCCTTCCAGGCAACTTGGGAAAATACCATTCAGAAGGTAAATGTCCACAAAGAAAAAAGGTCAACCAGGTGGCCCACCCCATGACCTGGTGCTTAAGGGAGCTGGATCATCCTACATGGCCAACCATGGTTTGACGGTTTGAATCCCAACCATGGCAGCTTAAAAAACATGACCGATGCATAAGTGCCCCAAATCCCGACAAGATGGTGAAATGGAATGGAAGGGATTGCAGCAAGACCATGCCCTAAGGGGGAGAGGGAGTGCTTTCTCTCTCCTCTCTCTTTCTGACCAGTGTACACAACCTTTGGCAAATTATGTAACACAGAAAAAAAAAAAATCACACCAGACTACCTGATGTACAAGATCCCCAATTTGTCTTGAAGAAATTATACAAATATCCTAAAATATTTGTATTCAGTATTTTAAAAACAAAACTCTCACTGATCTCTAATACTCCAAAGCCACATCAGTGCCTCCCCTGACACTTAATTACTGAACCTCAGCTGTTCGCTGATGATAAATTTCATCGCAGGTGGACTTTCCTCTAAATGTGGCAGGTGCTGCTCCAGTAGCAATCAGGATAGGATATTATAGCCACCAGTAATTGGAAGGCACAAACATTCTGCCAATAATAAGTCAGCGTCAGAAATTACACAGGGTGCTGCCGTAACATGCTGTTCAAGCAATGCTGGATACATTCGGGAGACTGAAGGCTCAGCTCTCCAATCAACCTGTAAATACTGGGTGCACATGCCCATGATCCTGGCTGGCTGGGAATTCTGCAGGGGGATGAAGCCCTGTTGAGGGTACTTTGTCTTTGTCTTTCTCTCTCTCCCTCTTAGAAAGGAAATAAGCTTAAAAAGTC